TCGTAGCCTTGATTTACAGGAATGCAATTGTTAGTATGAAGCATCATGACAGCACCAGAAAGTTCAAAGTCGATTAGAGCGTCCGACACGGCGACACATCATAGAAATCATTCGCATCAACTCTAGAAGAGGTTTCATGAGACTCCATTAAGAATATCAGTAGCTAAACATAGACGCTCACTACTCAAGTATCCTTTAGTTTGCGGACCTTATTCCGGTCCTCTGAGCGCCGCAAGAATGCTCCAGGGAAGAAAACAGGGGCTGAAAAATTGCAGCATCAAAGTAGGAGTGAAAATGAACTTGAAGAAAATTAATGTCTTGCTTAAAAAATGCGTGACAACGTGAACTGTTGAAGTCAACGTACTTAGGCTTGAAGAAGTGCATAACTGCGTTTATCTGTACAGAAAATCTCTGCAACGACAACGAACTGTGATATAAGTTAAAAATGTCAATCAAGACTTGAAAAACTTGAAATCTTCCTATCAGGGAAGCTTCCCATGTGACTGAAACTTTGTGTATTTCAGTGGGGTGCTAAACGTCATTTCTAAGCCTGATAGTTATTCATGAACTGCAGTTCACGCAAAGCAGTATGAAAAGATATCTGTTGGGAAGAATAAGGTCGAAAACGAGTGAATGGATATGGGCTCAAACAATAGTCTACTGTGTTATTGCTGAGTGAATAAGTTAAAGTGGCAGTGGTCACGACAAAGTGCAAAAGAACCGACCATCGCTGGACTACAGATACTGGAGTGAGTTCCAGGAGGGAGTAAACAGCCTATAGACAGACCTCCAGATCGTTGATACGATGAGCTGATGAAGTTCACTGAATCGATTTAGATTGAAATTGCAGAAAATAGAATTTCTAAATTTCTTGAAGAAACCTTTATGCAACAGTGGATCGGCAGAGCGTGATGATGATGTTTCGATGGATATACTGAATTTTTGTTCTTTTGAATTCAGGTCTCATATTTCGTCTCCATCTACCATCAGTGGTTATGCATATTTGCTTCACTGCAAGCCAAGCCTTCTTGTGGGATAAGATGTAAAATAATGTAAACATTAAGATTTTTCTATGTTCAGGCGTTTGAACAAATAGTGATTTTCAGCATGCATATGAGAGGGGCGAAGAAGTAGCGATAACGTCTAGTACCAATGATGCTAAGTTCGCATTGGTTCCATTCTGATATGCGGAAACCTCATTGATATTAGACTTCATTATATGTCGTATTGGATAGTCTGATTGCACATAGTATCGCTAATTAATTGACTTTTAATTTCAGGCGATGATGGTATCACTGGCAGGCTTCTGAAACTGAAGGACAGCAGTCGAATCACAGGATTAACCTGCCATGTAAAGGTGAGATTTTATGAATTTTTGCACATTTCTTCATTATAGGCCAGAAACAGTGCTATCACTTCGATTATAAACGGGCTGAAGAAACATGTCGATGCAGTGTGTGACGAGAAACTAAGGTATGGGGAAGTTAATTCATTATAAATATCCAGCATTAGCCACTGGAAACATTGTCATTAATTAAGACATGGTCTGTTACCTTGTTTTTATGGTGCCTTGTTGAGGCCTAAATGGCTTTTGATGGAGGATAATTTAAACTCATAAGAGTAGTTGCAATGAATGCATCGAAAGACGTGTCACCATGGTGATTTTACTATCAGCCTGTTGCAAACACTAAAAATGTACATTTGTTTGTAAGCTTCTGCGTTCACTTATGAGTGATGAAAATATATTTGACCGATCACACTGAAGCAATTTTATAACCAGGCACTAAGAAGGTATTATACTATGAGCCGGAGAAGATTCTCAACACCTCCACGAGAACGAGGGGTACAGTATTTCTTTTAAACCGCAGAACTGACTGGTATTGGTTATTCTTGCATATAGTAGTGTAAACTAACTTTTTTAGTCACTCCAAATTTTTGGTAGTAATGATGTGAATAACATTTATATTGGTCTATTTAACTTTACCTCTCTGGCATAAATAAGCATGTTATGTTACCACTGATTCGAAAATTATCAAATGTTCTGTGGCCTTAGCAGTGTTCAGTCGTCACAAAATTTTGAAATGGTATGTCGATTCCATACCTCTGTCTGCGTTACTTATTTTCGGTTAATGTTCAGAAAAAAAACAAAACTACGGACGGTTGTAAAATTCTTTTGACCAGTGCATTCACCGATTCGTTTATTCGATCAATTTC